GGTAGCTGGTTTAGTAGGGGAAGGATGACTGTAACTTTATAAGACATTCTCATGACTAAAATCATATGCTCACTAGTGACTGGCTCCTTGAGGTAATTCCTGGAGTTCTAGTGAGAAGTCGTGGCCAGTGGAGCTAATCCATGTCAGGTAGAGACAGGTATCTACCTCAGTACATTGGAAGTTGGTTGCGCAATTTCGTGGATTGGTTGAGGTTAGACATTAACACCGTTGGGTGCCAGCTCAGTGGTCTATCGGTTCAGGGCTCTGGCTCGAGACTGGTAGGTCCTGGGTTCGAATCTCGCGAGAGCGGGTTCGTGGATGCGCACTGCTGAGGAGTCCCATAATAGGACGAAACGGCTGTCCAGGGCTTCCAGGTTTTCCATCATGGTCTAGCTTCAATTGACTCATGATCTTAACTATAAAATTACTAAATCTCCACAAAAAAAACCCTTGAGATACAAAAGTGCCTGCTGAGTTTAACGTTATGATAGGAGAGTCTTTTCGTGACTTTTTGTATATAGTTCATCCTTTTCTATTTATGAACTAGACTTCCAATCGTTTTATTCGTCTTTGAAAAATAAACGGATGACAGCTCTTCAGGTTTGATACTCTGCCGACTGAGACCCGTCTCTCTTCTTATTCTTTAAGCTCAACGTTATTTTTCTCAAATAATTAATAAAATTAGAAAAGTTTGGAAACATAAATAACCAAAGAAAATGACCAGAACGAAATTTCATCTGCACAGTTTCAGCTAGTTAGTAAAAGTGGGATGAGACAAGTGTTCCTTTGTCTGATGCACAAAAACTACACTAAAACAAAGTCATAATTCATGTAATTTATTTGGTTACATATTCTAAGAAATTGTAAAAACTTTACTAAAACTTTAATTCTTAACTTTACTTACAGCTCAAACGAATAAATCTTTGTTGATTTACATTTTATTTCTTCAAATTCTAATTATTTAAATATTCTTATTTAGCTAAATTTATTATCTTGCATATAGTTGAATAACATGACAAATAATACAGCGAATTCCCCGTATTCTGCAAATATTGTCATTTTCACTTTGCTTCAGAATAAAAATAACTTTTTGATGTTCCGTGCAAACAATTCACATTATCTGAAGATACTGTAAAGTATGTAATTAGTATCATTTGTTATTATAAGTAGCACATATTCCACTTATGAATAACGATGTTTGAATTTACTGATATTAATTTTATCAACCATTTAATAAATCACTGACTTTACAAACTACCGAAGTTGCTAACATATCTCGAGGATTTATTTACAAGAAGCTTATTGAAATATTCTATTTTTTAATGGATCTGTTTTCCATAGTATAAAATTCAAATAGTACATCATTTCATTTGAACCTGAGTTTGATTGATAGGCAATTATTAAGTTATTTCCTGATTTCTGTTATATCTACCCGTAAGTAGTAATGATAAATTGTATCAATAAACATGTCTGTTTTACCTGTCTTGGTAATTTTCTAAGTGTCCGTAAATCCATAAAAAGTAAGTTAGCTGACTAGAAGTCTGTTAAAAAAGTTTATGGCACAAGTCACATTATAAAACACCTAAGTGAGAAACGCTGAGATGGGGATTGATATTGATTATCTTTACAAAATACTAAATCGATATGAGATTATTAGTTTACGCAAGTTACATGATTGGAAAATCCAGTAAATCTTTACAATAGTTATCTTAACATATTGTATCAACAAGAGATTATATTTATGTGTTTAAATTCCATCAATGTCATTGAACAAGTGTTTTGCCTTGTGTTTTCAAAACTAAAAATTTGTTCAGCAAACTCCGAAGTTAACAATTATAAATAGTATTTTCACAGTTGAAATCATGAGTCAATTGAAGCTAGACCACCATCGAAAACCTGGAAGCACTGGACGGCCGTTTCGTCCTATTATGGGACTCCTCAGCAGTGCGCATCCACGAACCCGCTCTCCAGTGCTTCCAGGTTTTCGATGGTGGTCTAGCTTCAATTGACTCATGATTTCAACTGTGAAAATACTAAATTCTCCACAAAACCCCCTCTAATTATAAATAGACATAATCTGAGTGATTACATAATTCATAAATAACTTAACATATAGTGACTATTAAATTGATTACTGATTCATCTTTTAATTTAATGTTCACTTGATCACATTATCGCATATTTACTGTTTTTTATACTTAAAGTTTGTTAGTTTAAACCTACTTCCTCAAACAACTGAAGAGTACATTGTGAAGTGTCTTTTACAGAGTACTATGATGCATAAAATGATGAATCATCGGTTCCTATTTTAGTGAAAACTGGTAACACATGCATCTTCTAAGAACAAAGATGAAACATAAAATCCTTTATGAATTTCATTGTTAGCTACTAATGAAGTGGATAGGACACATATTGAAGAAATCACCCAACTGCGCCACAAGGAATCCTGAAGGTCAAAGGAGAAGAGGAAGACCAAAGAACACATTACGCCGAGAAATGGAGACAGATATGAGAAGAATGAACAAAAGTTGGATGGAACTGGAAAAGAAGGCTCAGGAAAGAGTGGGTTGAAGAATGCTGGTCAGCGGCCTATGCTCTATTGGTGGCAACTGGCGTAAGTAAGTACTAATGATTGATTGGTCTTCCAAGCCTTTGAAATTTCAATTTAGCTTTAACGTTATATGAATATGTGTATAATGTGATGTCAAACAATATGAATGTTAGTTATTTTAAAATGTGTGAAGTTTAACTTTCTTCAAGCCTAAAGTTATTATTCTACTTATTATTGACACTATATCACCTTACGTTTGCAGTGATGTAAAAAAATTAGTGAATGATATCCTATTTATATCACATTAAACTTAGGTGAGTTTTATTGATGGGACAATAGTAGTATCATTCACATAGATTGGTTTTATTAGTCTATAACATACAGAGACTATGTATAAACTATCATTCATTCAATAATCTGAGTGACTTTTATTAAGCTTATATCACTACACGACTTTCATTGTCTGACTAATTAGACAGAATTTAAGGCTACCAAATAACTGGGAGTTATTTGTTCAGAAGATTAAATTATAAGCGTCACATAATATAGGGTTAGCTTTTATCAGAAATTGACTTAGACTGAAGAATCATCGTACACCAGGAAAGATGGTCTCATTTCTGAAGTGTTTGAAATTCACTGGTCATAGCTTCTCACCAGAACGTCAGATACTTTATTTCACGCTACTCAGTGATAAGCAGTTATTTGTTATTTAGTCAAAGAGAGCGTGAAAATTAGTTTAAAGTTGTGTGCATTACCGATAGCATCAACGTTTTGAATTCAATTATAGTTAAGTTCCCGGGTACAAAATATTGAGAAACTAAAAACTAGGACAATGCGTCTTTCCAGTGTTTCCAGGTTTCTGAAGGTTTATTACTTTGTATTAGTTCCTGGTAAATAGAAACTTCAAATTCAACTTTTCATGTCATTCCCCTACAATAATATTATTCATCGTTCGTATTTCTTATTTTCTATGCAAATATAAACTCAGTTATTATATGACATATATAACAGTGGAGCTGTTGAAAGTAATAAAATACTTCTTCATTCATATTACGATGAAATAAAGTATGAAAAACCGGTAAGATATCATAATCTAAAACAAATCAAGACAAAAATTTCGATTCTTCGTATTTTATGAATCAAGTTATCTGAAAAAGAAAATTTTAACTTTCAATTAGGAAATACCTGTAGATAAAGTAAAACTAATGTGTGCGGAATGAACTCGTTAGTCAAAGATTACTCTCTGGCTTTAACAGTGACCTTAGCATCAAAAATTCAGTGTGTTGTCACCTTTTGTTTTTAATCTTGTTCGTGCATAAACTTCTATAATTAATATCAATGGAAGCACTGACTTCACTTGGTGTTGTTTGCTTGTATCTTCCCATTGTTGTTTAGGACTGCAATTGATCAGCCACTTGTTCGTATATGTGTATCCTGTGAGGACTGCCTCGATATTGTCTTGAGTCAAAAGCTTTATAAGCAAAGATGGATAGTGGCTAGCAATGGAATCGAGGATGCGCATTTCGTCCTGTTTGGGACTCGTCAACTGGATGTTGACGGCTATTGTTGATGGCTATCAGAACTCAGGAGCTGAGTGGATAATGTAATGGCGTTTGAAGTGAAAGATACTGGGTTCGAGTCCCCGAGTAAACATCAACTCTGAGATACAGGTATATCCAGCTGACGAGTCCCAAGTAAGACAAAACGCGAGTCGTAGATTCCACTGCTAGCTATCATTATCTATGCTTATAATGTTTGTGAATTAAGGCAATATCGAGACAATACGCACGGTATACACATATTTCAATACGAGACTGATCAATTACAGTCCTAAAAATCAGTGGAAAGATTCAACCAAACAATACCTAGTGAATTCAAATAAAGTCTTTATTTTGTAGAGTAAGTCTGATAAGGCATGAACAGAAGAAGTTCTTATTCCATATTATTCATTCATTTTTCAACATTGTAATGATGAATAGACCAAAAAAATGTATGACATATAATTACCAATATCTTCTCATATTCATAATAATAATGTTTTTCGAATACATATGATCAAAATATTTACAAATCTAGGATAATAAATAATCTGATAATGTAGAGGCAACAGTTATAGACAAATAGATTTCATAAAGCAATGCAACAATCATAAAACAAAAATCTGTTAAATATATGCATATACATAAAATTATAAACATGAATATGGGCAGATAACAATAAAACATAACGACATTAGTATTTCAATAACTCTGCCTGTAGCTCTTCTAGAGTTACTGCCTGTCCGAAACCTGGGTAAAGGAGGAGGGTTGGGCATGGAGTCGGTAACCCCATCTTGCTAAAAAAAGATATCAACCAATATTCACCTTTAATTGTTCATGATTCATATAAGAATTTATAGTTTTCAGTTTACAAAATGAATGAAAATTATTCTGAAGTGTTAAATTTTCTATTATGATTTATTAATTATATCATGTGCATAGAATTCAAGTATAGAATTATTTTTTATATCAAAACGTACACCGGGTCTGTTAGAACGATTTGATGTTAATTTATCTTTTGATTGTGTATAAAGTTTACTTTTTAGTGTAGATGATTTTGGTCTAATTGTAGTAATACTGTAATTATTAGTTGTAGATATATTAGTAGTATTAAAATCTCCATCAAAATTTCGAATAATACTATTGGAAATAACATTAGGTATTTGTGATTTCCAAGAGTTAGCTGAAAATGGTCTTATAGAAGAAGTTTCTTGATTATTAGTATTATAAAATGTTAAACCAGTTTGATTGGTGTTGTATATAGTGCAACCGGTTTCAGAGTTTACTGTTACGTTCGATGTTTTGTTAGATGCTTTGCTATCTGTCTGTAGTTTTACAAAACTTTTAGGGCGTTTAAGTATCGATTTTATAGGAAAAGAGTTGGTGATAACTGAATTACAGGGTAATAAGTTTTCATCAGTGTATGATAGATTATTCTGAGTTATTAGCTTAGTTGATGACGAAAAACTATGAGGCAATTGTTCAGTGTTATTTGATTTTGAAATCGATAAGCATTTATATGGTTCATCATGCATGTTCGTCTTCTCAAACTCATCATGTAGAATGGATCCCTTTATCTCTTTAGTTTGATTACCGGAGGGTAACATTTCCCCGCATTCATCTTCCACAGTTATGGATTCGTTCACACTTGGAGTATTTGAAATATTTTCATCAAATATATTGTCATGCTGACTTTCCTCATTCCGTTCCTCAATTAATTCTAATGATTTATGTGTTGAATTTGAACTTGAATGGTCATTTTCAAAAGAAATTAATTCGGATTGCAAAGTATCTTCCGAATCGTTATTCTTATTTTCACTATTCGTAGACGGAATTAAATGTTCCATATCTAATTTTGCACCAATTCCTTCGGAGCTACATAGTTCATCAACTTTTGACAGTGATTGGCATTCTTCAGTATCTGGATTTCTAAATACTACTGATATCTGATCATCAGACATTAGAAACCTAGAAGCTGCCTTTGTACACTCTGGTGATTTACATAAATCCCTTAATTCTTCGTTTAATGGTATAACAGAGTCTTTTTTATCTTCTTTTGCCGAAACTTCGAATATAATAGCTGTATTGGCTGTTGTTTCAATCATCTCTACAGGTTCATTTTTAAAGAAATCACATTTTGAGCTGCTCTTGTTACATACATTGAGGTCTTCCTCAATTATTATTGTATCACTGGATTTCAGTTCTACTGGAAGCTTATTTTCCACTTGACTTGGAGCATTATATTCTAGTTTACTATCATTACCAGCCGATGCTGTAATATGTTTAGTAGTATTTTGTTTAGTATTATTCATAGGAACAAAAGCTATTTCGGATTTCTCAAAAAAGGGTTTGATTTGTTCAGATTTATTTAATGGTGTACCAAGTTTGGGTTTAAATGATCTTTTTGGTGACGAGGGATTTTTGAAAAATTTAATATTCTGAAAACTTACAGGGGTTACAGATAAAACAGAAGATTTTGGTAATTGTTTATGGATATCTGTGTCAGACGTTTTATTCTGAACAATTAAAGTATGATGATTTTTTGGAGTCATTTGATCATTCAACTTTCTTGCACTATTTAAAGATATAAAATCATTAGGACTGGTAGGTGTTTGGCATTGCTGTGTAGGTCCTTCAAAGATGTTTCGTATGCGACTGTAATCTGTGTGATCATGATCTACGTTAAATGTATTTGTGGATCTGTTCCCATATCTGAGTGTTTTATCACTTCCATAAGCAGATGAAACTCTACGAAGAGGTTGAGACTTTTGTTGAACAGTATCTACCAGTGAACTGCGGGCGTTAACGGCTGATCTCCTTCTATTACATAGGTTAGGATTTAACATCTTTTTACTTGCGTTTTCACACAAGGATGGCGTTGAAGATCGTTCATGTAATTGACATATTTTGCCACTACAGTCAATTGAATTCGACCGTTTCAAAGAGGAGGAAGTGGTGCTAGGCAATAGGGTGGAAAACGAATTTTCTTTAGAAAAACAAAGATCAATACTGGTTAGTCGTCTTGTAGATAACGGAGAAGAAACATTCGTGTAGGATTTGATATTTTGTAACTCCTGTGGTGCTCTTTGTAGAGATGCTGATCTTCCAAATGTAGCTGCTGTATGTGGTCTTGTCAAGTAGTAAACACGTAATGAACCCAAAGGGCGACTTCTGTTTCCATAGATAGAATGCATATTATTCATTGCATGTCTAGAACAAATCTGTTGAAATAAACTATTACTACATAATTGTGGGTTGGATGATCTAAGAGCTGAATTATCTTGGAATGTAGTTGTCTGTGAATCAAAATTTGTTACATTCTGATAATTGGAATCACTGTTAGACCGTAAGATATTAGATATATTGGGAATTGTCGATACAGTTGATATATTAGATGATCGCATCTGTTTTATATTCGATGATTGTTGACTTGTATAACGTACTCCACCAATAGATTGTTCATATTCATTCAATCCATTATTCAAATAACTTGGATGATCAACAATTGATTTCCATAATCTTTCATTCCACCAAGATGCATTTTCCATGATTCATATAATTTTTTTTCTATATTTATTATCCAGGTAAATTTTATTTGAATTTCAATAATTGCCAAAGTAATTATAAACATAAATAAAATCTGTTGATGAATATCTTTCTATTTAAATAAAGAAACGTTTACATTATTCCAAATTATTTTCTCTTTAGCACTATATTGAACTTGGATGTTTGATTTTTACTAATATAACAATCTTGTTTAACCTCCTGATGAGTGTCCTACAATTGACCTTATTTTGATTACAATATTGATTTAATATTTATTTATTTATTTATAGATGTATTTGGTACAATATTTAAATCTACAAATTGGTTATATGATTTGTTCATTTTGAGTAGTATATTACATTACTTGGGTTAATCTTTCAGTGTTTAGGGTTTTGTGAGGTATTATTATTATTATTATTATTATTATTATTATTATTATTATTATTATTATTATTATTATTATTATTATTATTATTATTATTATTATTATTAAGATATTCGATAACACATCAGAAAGTCTAATTTGATTATACTATGACCCGCATTATGAATCATAAATATGGTATGATAATGAGTGTTACAAAATATCTAATAAGTAAGATAAATATCCATCGATTTAAATAGATGTGTAAAACACAATACTTCAGATGATCAACTTTCAATGAACTATACTTCTAAAAGTAAGAAGTAAATGATGTAACATTTCTTATTAATAAATAGTTTGTTCTTTTTGTTCATGAAACATGAAGTTATTCAGTTGATTGATTGATTGCAAGTTTTAAATGTTGTGGTTGAGAACTCAGATAACTGTTTAATTAGTTAAGCAACCAACAAAGATAGTTACTTTTTGATGTAGGTTTGTTCTTTGAGCTGGATGGTTTGGTCATAGAGCTTTCGTCGTCCTTCTGAACGACATCATCAGCACATTGAAATCAATCCAATTTATGAACCAATCAAAAAAATTATGCAGAAATATAGGAAGAAAAATCAAACCAAAACAACGAAATAAACAATGACAGATTTAAGGTCAATAAGAACCAATCAACATCGATGTGCACAGGACAAGCTGTGAATCACATGTGGAGAAATTCAAACACTTCACTTCTACCCGAAGTTTGTGCTAATGATCTCGTTCAGAAGGATGATGAAAGCTCCACGACCAAACCATCCTGCTCAGAGAACAAACCTACATCGAAATCACCCATCTGAGCTACAAATCTTCTCCACCATCTCAAAGATAGTTATGTTACGTAGTAACTATATAATGACGTATTGATTATAAAATAATATTGATTAATTGGAAGAAAGAGGATTATGATAATCAAAGTGATTATTTGAAAGTCAAGCAGTTGCTACCTTGCATAGTATATAAAAAAGAAGGAACTAACTAAATATTTTGATGAAAAATCAGTATTGTAATAGTTGTGTAACAATCAAGTGACGAATATTGAGAATAAGGAAAATACAAAACTGGAAGAACTTCGAAAATAGTTTATCGACAAACACATGAAAGTTATGAAGATAAGAACAAAGGTACCCACTGTTCCGAACAAAGCATTGTTCTTAAAATTACAATTCCTAAAAGATGCTACCGAAAAATTGTGACTCAAAGGTTAAGAAAAACGGTACAGAAAACGTTTAATGCAGTCAGGCTAAGAGCCGTTTTCTATAGCCGCCCCATAATAAGAACCGTTAATAAACATAAGTTGCTTGAATTCGCCACATCCATGTGTATTTACCAATTGAACTGCTCCTGTGGAGCCAGTTATATAGGGCATAAAATTCGGCAAATCAGTCATCGCATAGCAGAACACCATCCGTCTTGGTTGAGCTAAGTACACGTAAGAGAGATTAGGAATTCCATTCTCGCTCACTTGTTGGACACAGGTCATTAAGTTAACTTAAATTAAGCTTTTAAGGTTATCCATCAAATTTACCATATGGTTTACAAATTCGTCCTGTGCATATTGCTGAAGCCACCAGAATCTATGTTCACAAAGCAAACTTTTTAATTCAAAAGAATTTTGTACAATCAACCTTGTCATGAAACGCGGGTTCTGGATTCCACTGCTAGCTATCATTATCTATGCTTATAATGCTTGCGACTTAAGGCAATATCGAGGCAACCGGCAAAGGATGCACATATGACAATAAGAGACTGATTAATTATAGTCCTAAAAATCAATGTTAAGATTCAAGTAAACAATACTAAATGAAGTTATTCTTCAGTCTATTTTTAAAATTTTGTTCATTATTCAACAACTCTTATTTAATGAGATAACTTAAATTCATAATCATAACAATTTTGATAATTTAAAGCAGGAACTATAAATAGTGAAGTCTAAAATAAAGCTGATACATTTTTCGAGACAACTCTAATCATTTGTTAACTTGTGGAATTCGGGGAGACTATAATTTGTGGACGAACTAAAGAAATTAAAGCTATCAAGTCTTGAATATTGATGCAAATTTTATTTATTCATATGGTAAAATAGCATTTAGACATTATAGGTGATGTCAATTCGTGATGAAAAGTCTAATTTCCAACCTTAACTTTTAACTTCCAATCCTAATCCCAATTCTTCATACATATCTATAGCCCTGTTTTAAACTTAATGAGTAGGCGGGTTTTTTGAAGATAACTTTAGAGTCGCTCAGAGACCCCCTATAAATTATACTCTCACCTAGAATTCATATGGTGATTAGTTATCTTGCGTGCTATTTAATCACGAAATTGATACTAACAGATCTTGTTGAGGTTAGTTTGAATTGAACAACTGTTCTTTCAAGTTAGGATCCATCATTGTAAAAATTAATGATTCTTACACAGCATTAAGAAGCTACAAAAGTACTTATTTATGTGAGTTATTTATGTTTAAATTTATTTATTCTTAATTTCATCATTGCAATTTCAGAAGCCAGCTGTAAATTTAACTTATTCATCATTCCATTGCTGGAACAAACATTCCGAATTTAAGAAGATAGTTAAATCAGAAACTTGAAGGCACATTTCAAGAAATGAAACCAGCTTGTAATAATTCCAGGGAATAGAATGAACTTAAAAAATTCTGATGCTTTACTCAGCAGTCATGATGGATTATATCATAAACGTCGCTCAAACCCGCGTTTAGATACTAGAGTTTTATCATTCTCGTTTAAACATTAGAAATAATTCGATGAAGAATTTCAAAACAACATGTATAAATGAACACAAGTTCGGCAAATGTTTATCTTGTGGTAAGTTTCATTTTCAGAAATCATGTGCATTTCGTTATACTAAATGCTTCAATATTAAGAGAAATTAGACATAAGGAATCGGTGGATGGTAACACTATTCACTTCACGAACAGTGATAGTAAACCTTGTAATTCAGATCTTAGTAAAGTGGACGGTTCTGGCAATCATATATTATTTTGATCCAAAACTTAGAAAAATAATTTCCACATTCAGAAGTGATTACGCACCTCCATTTTTTCATTTTACAACCTTATTGTTGACAGACAATACTTAGTCCATTATTTCACTCAAAAACCTATTCTTTAGGTGCTAATGTTGTAATAAGACCTACTGAAATGTCAATGGTTGTGATTACTGAACTCAAACTGCTGACATGAAGATGAATCATGAAGTTGACAGTTCTTCATTCATGTATTTTGAATTTTTGTTGACAAGACTAGACTGTCAATACTAGTTTCGAAAAATTTGAAAAGGCTTAAAATGGAGTTACCTTTACTAGCTTACGAAAAAATTCTCAACCTCTACATAGAGATTCAGTGGCTTCATGTACTCTGTCCAGCGAAAAGATTGGAATTCAAACTACCGAATTCTAACCACAGAGTGATGCAATCTTCCTCAAATGGTGAATAATTCACAATGATGCTTGGAGAGCTGAATAGTGTATAAAGAAGGAATAATTGAACCGGTTCAGTCTTTAGATATTATCAAATCATCAATTTTTCTGATAAAACAACTAGTGATCGGAGGCCTATTGTCTTATTGCATGGGTGACTTGAAAATAATCCTCCTGTATCTCTTCTACGGTTACTACCGGTCTTAAGCCCGAGCAAAGGAGGGGGGTTGGGAACGGGGACACCAACTCCATACCGTAGAAAAGAACCTCGCTGAATCGCCAACCGGAGTAGATAGTTTCAATCACTTGGTTATATCTCGAACTTAGATTCTTAGTATGCCGCATATAACTTGAGCACTCAAACGCTAGAACATCCCCAAGTCGCAAATGAGAAAACAGAAGACAAGTGGAAAGAATGATATTCCAAATAGCGTTAATTATGGTACAAAACGGCCAGGTATTTATAATTTTTTAGTAAAAAAAATCATCATTGTAGTTATCGAATTCGCACACAGGGGGTTATTAGCATTTGTCCAAAAGGGGAGCTGCACGTAGTGATTCGGGAATGTACTTCCAAAAACTGATTGGATGGAATATGTTTGGTTCCATCTGAGTTCCTTAGAGCTTTCTCAAGTTTACACGTGGGCCGTCCTCACACATCTAAACTCCGACTTAGTAGTTCGAGGATCTTCTTTCAGGACTACGACATCTCATGGTGAAAGCCGAGATTCTTCAGGAGTCACGAGGCCGATGCCTCTTTTTACAACCAGAACAAAAATCAATATAGAAACATGGAGTGTCCGGACAATATGGAAGACCGGGAAGACCAGTCACATGGCAACGGAAATGAGGAGACACAAATTATAAGTACTTGGAATAAGCGAAACCCATTGGATACAAGCTAGACAGAAAATGATAGGTTCGGGAGGGATGCTTCTCTGCCGGTCACGAAGAGAAAAATGCTTCATACACTCAGGGAGTTTCTCCGATGCTATCAAAATAAACACAAATGCACTTACAGGATGGGAATCTCACGGATCTAGGACCATTAAAGCATCCTTCAAAACAAGGAATGAGGAAATTAAAGTGAATATTATCTGATGTTATGCACTCACCAATGATAGCGTCGACAGGGATAAAGACCAGTTCTAC